CCATAGACCTCCATTATTTGAATGTCAGCAGACAGCAAGAAGCCTCCCAGATCTCCAGATGCATTTGAGATATCAAAAAAGTACTCCAGAGTGTTGTTCAGCATGCGGGTGAGTAGAAAATGAAGGCTAATCATGTTTTGGGTGTACTATTCCTTTAAAACAGAGAATTAGGCAGAGTTGAAGTAAGGTGGATGGAACCAAACGTTCTATTTTATTATGTCTACGTCCTCTGCAGTTTTATTGCTAGCTGCAAAAAAAACCCCGCTCCCCGATGACAGTCTATGTCATCATGGGGCTTATTTTAAATGTATGCCACACTTTTCAGTTTTTTTTTACTTGTAGAAAATGGTTAAAAACCCCGATTGATTTTCCTTCCCCTTCATAATTATTCTCTATTTTGTGTTCCGTAAAATAAAAAGGTGATTAAAATACCATTTAACAGCTTCGTGGGTGTACTGGGACAAAGTGTGAAAAACAATTCTAGGCCTTGGAATGAATACCTTCACAAGTGACTGTATTGTGAACCCCACTTTTTGACTAAAGGATAAATAGTTGCTCTATTTGTGTTTATTGTTCAAATGAATGGTAGGAATATGACTAGATGCAGTCTACACTGTGATAAATGTACTGTGACATCAACAAAGCACAGTTTAACAATACAGTATTATTTTTGTTGCTATCTGTAACAGTGTGTGCAGAGGCGTTCAACCCTGACGATGAAGAAGAAGATAAAGAGCCACGGGTAAACTGCATTCCACACCACAACCTCACATTTATGATTTAGCTTAGAATCAGACTGGCCAAGAAAATGACCGGCTTTACTTAATGATCGGCCGCCGTAAGGCAGCCTCACAGAAACACGTTTTTGTCTCTCAGGTTACCCATCCCAAAACGGATGAACAGAGACAGAGACTACAGGAAGCTTGCAGGGACATTCTTCTCTTCAAGAATTTAGATCCAGTAAGTAAACGATTGAAGTCGTCAAATTGAAGTGGTTTGTTTTCTTTTTCATGTGTGCATTATTTTTTTATACTGTAGTCAATTTATGTTGTAATATAAATTAGTTTAAGCAACAACAAAAAAAACTTCAATGTATTTTCTCTCCCTCGCAGGAGCAAATGTCTCAGGTTTTGGACGCCATGTTTGAAAAGCTCTGCACGGAGGGCGAGCACATCATTGATCAAGATGATGACGGGGACAACTTCTATGTAATTGAAAGGTAGTTTAAAGCAGTTACTTTTAAAAGATTCCAGAATCCCCGTCTGCTTATGTCTTCATTGCTTATTTGATCTTTTATGCAGTGGGACGTTTAACATCTTCGTGAAGGTCGAGGGTGCTGAGAAGTTGGTGGGTTCCTACGACAACAAAGGCAGCTTTGGAGAACTGGCGCTGATGTACAACACCCCCCGGGCAGCCACGATAATTGCAACCTCACCTGGAGCCCTTTGGTGCCTGGTGAGTCAAACATTACATAGCCATGCAGGAGCTGGCTGCTTGCTCAGGTTTTTATGACATACTGTGTGCAGTCAGCTGGCACAGCTTAAATACATACCCAGGGTGTCTGTGGCTGTGCTGGGGCATGATGGAAAAGAGAGAGATGGCGCAGAGCAGATTGGATAAAGTACTCTACAGGTGGAAGCATAAATTCACTTAAAATGTATTAAAGGACAGCCTTTTTTCCATATGCTTCTACAAGCTTTAACTTACAGACTGATGTATTGAGATCACTTCAATATTCTTTTGTTAATGGCAGTATTCAGTTTGTGAAGTGAAGCAATTTGGCATCAAAACAACCAGCAACATGTCTGTGAAGATTCTCAGTCATCCAGGTCAAGCTTGATAAAGTTCAGTTTAGGCAGCTGGAGGTGAAGTTTTCTAGAAGACGGTTTGCTTCTCATCCAAGAGGCTTCTTCAGTTCTAAGTAGCGTTGAGGAGCACTGAGATTAATATATTTCTCTGGCTTTGCAAATTTCCTCCTTTTTGTTGTTACAGTCGTTTTAATTTAATCCAACTATATAACATTTATCCAAAAATGTAGAACCCCCAGTGCATTTATAAATTGCAATGTAGCTCTTTATGTTTGTTTTCTGTAATTGTTTCCTCCTTTCTCGATGGCCTTTAAGGCGATGTGGGTGAAAAACCTATTTCAATCGAATTCGGTTTATTTATATAGCGCTAATTCACAACACATGTCATCTCAAGGCAATTAACATTTTTTTTACAACAGTTTTTTTCTGTCTAAGGAAAACCAGTTGATTCTATCGACTCATTGACTCAAATACAATCCCTCACACTAAGCATGCTTGTAGCAACAGTGGAGAGGATAAACTCCCTTTTAGCAAGAAGAAACCTCCAGCAGAACCAGGCTCAGTGTGAGCGGCCATCTGCTGAGGCCGACTGGGGTTCAAGGAGACAGAAGCAGAGATACAAAAGCTAACTGTAAAAGGCGGCCCCGTCCAGGAAACACACAGCCAGGCAGACGAGCTCCGAGCCAGCTCCCACGTCAGAAGATGCAGAGACCACATCCATCCCGTCACCGT